TCAACAAATACAGCATCACGATTTCTTATAATCGTTTTCTGGATTAGGTCATAAAATTTATAGCCACATTAGTCTTGGCCATAGCCAATGAATACACACTGTCTAGTCTTGACATCAAGCTTCGACTGTTCATCCTTCGGGACATGTACGAAGGCTTCATCTCTTCCTAACCATACTCTCTCTGGAGTATCATACTGTAGAGGGAAACAGAGTGAACGGCAAACTGCTGTGAGTAACGCTTTACCCCAAATCTTTTAGATAACTTTGCACGTGAGAGTAAACATCTGACTCTCTCTATCAAAGTTCTGTTCATCCTCTCAGCCAAACTGTTCAGTTGCGGCTCTTGGGGGGTGCCGTTTGTTGTCGAATGCCATGGTCTTTGCAGAAAGCATCAAATGGCCCAGTGTATTCTCCACCATTATCTGTCCTGATACATTTCAGCTTCTTGCCTGTCTGTCTCTCAACCAGATTTAGAAGACTTCAATGTGTATACCCAGGTCTTCCTAGAATGGTCATCGATAAATATCACAAAATATCGATTTCCACTATCGATTTCCACCAGATGAACATTTGTCCAATGGTCCACACAAATCTGAAATGAATCAAGATTTCATAAATTTTCATTCTAGAAGGAGGGGTTAATCTTGAAAGCTACTCTGTTTGCTTTCTCGCCATAAAACAAATCAGGAACTTGTCTAGGTGAACTTCATCCAATCCAGGTAGTACGTCTTTGGGTTTGCTAGAGTTTTTCTTACCTCATGTGGGCGTAGTCATTTATGCCCCAATTCAACTGTACTATCATTCTCCGTATACACTCAAAGTACACTCAAAGTGTCTTGGGAGAGTTTCGCATGCATTACGTAAAGCTTTCGGTCTTTAGCTATCACAAATGAACCTTTTGTGAGCTTCCACTGACCATTTCTAAAGGTTCTATAGAAACCTTCATCATCAAATCTACCAATCGAGATTTGGACGCATGCTTAAAAGCCCATTCCTCATCAGTCTTGTTTTTCGGTTTAGTTCAACTAATCAGGCAAATGCATTTTAATTACCATAAGGAGATCTCTCATTTTTCCATATATGGTAATTCTTGCCATTTAGACTGATCATTTTGCTTGTCCATTCTGACTTGCAGTGAAAATCATCATCGACATAAACTGTATACGTCAACAGTAGTATACGTGAATAGTGACCATGAATAGTAACAGTATATGAAAATAGTAACTATATGCGTAAATAGTAACTATACACGTGAATAGTACTATGCATGAATAGTGCTGGGCTTACTTGAAACGGATTCAGCAACAGTAACGCCAATAGTAGTGTTCACCATCAACTTTGAGTTACTATTTTACTATTCATCACTAAGTCGATTCTGCAACGATTCCTGCACGTCTTTCCTAAGTGGACAGCAACCAAACTGGACTCTTGTAATTTTTCTCTTCGTTGTGAGTATATTTTTTTGAAAAATAATATCCGATTCGGTCTGCTTAATCTGACACTGCTGGACCTGCAAAAACTTCCGGCTCCTGATCACCGTTATTGGCGCATCGCTTTGATACCAGTTATTGGGCATCAGGTTGAATACCAGTTTTTGGGCATTCAGCTCTGATACACTTGTTTGGGCTTAGGTACCACTTGCTTCAGCTCTGATACCATCGTTGGCCCCTTTCAACCAAGTTAAGAGAAAATTAACGGCAACAGAAAAAATAGAATGAGACACAAAAATTTACGTGGTTCACACCTCAACTTGTTTAGGGGCTTATCACAGACAAACTTTGAATACATTCTTCCACTAATTAAAAACAATAGTAGGTACATCAAAGAGAGTAATACAACATAGTGGCACTCAAAGTGGTTTCTCAAAAACCCCCAAAATAGTTTCCAACTCACTATATTTTTCTCTCCTCCCTAGTTTTAAAAGGAACCTTCCTAAAACTTAGAAAAAATAGTGGCACTCAAAGTGTTTCTCAAAAACACCCCAAAATAGTTTCCTCACTATTTTTCTCTCCCCTAGTTTTAGGAAACCCTTCCTAAAACTAGATAACTCTCTACATTTTTTTTCTCTTATTTCTACTGTGGATTTGTTGAGGGAAAACCTCACCTCTTTATAGGAGAAGTGGATGAGTAATTGCGTGTCCATCGACTGACGCGTAATTAACGCATCCATTTCTTTTTTTGTTAGGTGCAGCCTTCTTTGACCTTTTAAAACCAACGTGGGTTTTTTTTTTTTTCTTTCTTCAAACTTTGTGGGTCCCACATATTGGAGGGACCCCACAACAATTACGCAATTCTCCTACGGTTGCTGCGCTCGCCAGGAACGAAAGGACAAAGGGAAAGAGACTGGAGACACGTGGTGAGGAGGCAACGACAGCAAGGAGGTGATGGCGGTGAGGCGAAATCGGTGCTGACTTCAGGTGATCGGAAAACAAAAAGGGGAGGGGCAGGGGCTATGGCACAATGGGGAGATAAATGAGAATGAGGGATGGGGTTTTCTTTGGTATTTTCTTGTTTCTGGAACATTCTAATCGGTCTAAGGCTGGTTTGGAGATTTAGGGTCTTTGCTTGGATTTCCTTTTGCTTTGTGGGTTCCCAATTGGTTTTCTAATGATTTTATTTTAGTTGTAGGTTTGGTTTAACAAATAAAATTATATTTGTATTAAATTTAATTAAATAAATTGTAAGGGATTAATATATATATTTAAATATAATAAGGTCTTTAATTAATATTTAGATTTTTAAATGAAAAATTTTTGAAAATAATTTTTTTAGGTAATTTCATCTCCCCATAACTATGATAAATGTGAAGTCAAAATAATAGCAAAAACACTTTTGTTATAACACACCGTTCACCGAACCAATTCATGGCCACTATTATGCCTCCAATGTAACATAAGCCACCCTCAACATATTTTAACCAACACATAAACCACCCTCATAAATCGTATAATTGAAGTATAATCAACACACAAGAGAACGAAAGAGATTATGAAACAATAAAACTAATTAATTAGGCATATAATCAATCAACTTCTAACTTTATGATTAAATTTTTTATTGTAATCATACTAACAAAGAGATTAAAAAAAATAATTCTCTACACATGTTAAGCGATGATTACTTCTCTACACATTATTTAAATTCACTAAAATATTTATGACATCATAATTCATTTATATGGGCATAAATCATATTTTAATCAATTAATTCACTATCATTTATTTTTAGACTCTAAAAATTCTAAAATGCATAATTCATGACTTAAATAAATTAAATCACTGTAAAACACATAAATTCTAAAACTCATGTAATGAATATAAGTTTATAAATTATTTCATTATCGAATTAATTTAGAATACCAAACATCTAGGGTGATATTGAAATTGACCTGATAATTACATATTTCATGACTGAAAAAATTAGGACGTTATAATTAATTTGATTTGACTTATTAGATTTTAAATTTATATTATAAAATAATGTATATGATAGCCACATGTTATTGTCGTTTATAAATTTGATTTTTTTTTTCTCGTTTTGCAAAGTCTACGAGCATATAATTAATTTTATAGTTGCTTTTTTTGAGAAAAAAATTCTTTGAACATGTGATATGGTTTTCTAATATAATGTATTATATATTATATATTTCTAGTAAGTTTTATTTTCTATTTTATATCAAACAACAATAAATCTTATAATATATTCGTTGATAACTAGTAATAATTATATTTATTCTTTGTAGAATAAGTTATTTGTAGGAAATAATTATAACCAATCAAATTAAAATTTTATTGAAATATAAATAATTACATTATATTCTTACAATATTTAATATGTCCGTTGTATAATATAAAATAGCCAATCAAAATATTTTTTTCGATGAATAAAATAAAAATCCTTAAAGATATTATCCTTTCCTCTTTAATGTATACCTTATTTAGTATATAATATAATTTTTTTAATTTTTTTTTGAGAAGAATTTGAGAATGGAGGGAGTACATTTTGTTGAGATGATTGCTTAACATCTTGATTGTGGCTTTGCACTATTTGCATTAAACTATTATTTAGTTGATTGTTATTATTAAAAATATCTTTTTTTGTTGGATCACTATGACCGTTCTTGAAAAGGGAGACGTTTTGAAATATTGACGTGGGATCTCCATGAGATAGTTGTCAACCCATTAAAGGCACTATTCAAATGAACATTGACTTATATTCCACTTTCACATCTAGGGCATATGTGAGTACATTGGCTATGCAAAAATGTTACTTGTCAACTCCTTTGTTATTTCAATTTTCAAAATCTCCAATTGTCTTCTTCAAAATCTCAAGTTTTTTTTTTTTTTTTTTTTTTTTTTTTTTTTTTTTTCTTCGTTCAAAATCTCAAGTTTTTTTTTTTTTTTTTTTTTTTTTTTTTTTTTTTTTTTTTTAAAAAAAAAAAATAAAAACTCAACATATTGGATAAGAACTTTTTTTTTTTTTTTTTTTTTTTTTTTTTTTTTTTTTAAAAAAAAAAAAAAAAAAACTCAACATATTGGATAAGAACTTTAGTCTTTTATCTTATTCCTTAAACATTTGTAAATCAATAAAATGATGGGTGGGGATATTTTTCTGACACTGAAGGTTAAATATTGCAAGTTATATCTAGTGGAAATAAGCACACTTACTACTTTCTTCATTGAGTTAGATTATGCAAACCTTAACTTGTATTAAGATGTTTAAGTTCTTCAATGCATTTTGACACTATATTAATAATAAATATACATTTAAATATGTTTCTCAAAATTGCTAGATGACACTTTAAAAGTGCATAATATCTTTGATTGAATAACTTTATTTTGAGTTGCTGCTATGAGTTGCCTCTTAATTGATGTATCTTTCCAGCAATTTATCTTGCTTTTATTTAGATATTGTCTTAGATTCTCATGCGGCTGAAAGTAATTTATTTTTGCTAGCTTATCTGTATTGAGACCCAAGGATTATTTCACCTTTTTTTGCAGGAAGAACTACTTCCTGGTGGGCATGGGCTTATGGTGAGAGGCTACCTTCCTATCGTGAACACTCTTTCCCAAGGACTTGATATCCGCTTAGGGCATAGGTACTAGCTAATGATATCTATCAGTCACCTTTAATTTTAATTGTAATTTGCTTATGTTCTCTATTGGCAAATGTGTTTTTGTAGTGAACACACACACAAACACCCACACACACACACACACATACATATATATAAACACTTTTATGCAATTCTAATTCTTTCCTGTGATTTTCTAGGGTAAAAATAATCTTTAGGCATTATAACGGTGTGAAGGTAACTACTGAAAATGGAAGGACATTCGAAGCAGATGCTGCTATTGTTGCTGTTCCTCTTGGAGTGCTGAAATCCAACACCATAGTTTTCGAGCCTAAACTTCCAGATTGGAAGGAAGAAGCCATTACTGAAATGGGTGTGGGAATCGAGAATAAGATTGCAATGCACTTTGACAAGGTGTTTTGGCCAAATGTAGAGTTCTTGGGAGTGGTTGGAGAGACATCTTATGGCTGTAGCTACTTCTTGAATCTTTACAAGGCGACTGGTCATCCTGTTCTTGTTTATATGCCTGCTGGACAGCTGGCCAAAGATATTGAGAGAATGTCTGATGAAGCTGCTGCTAATTTTGCATTCATGCAACTTAAGAATATCCTACCTGAAGCATATGCTCCGGTGATCTCAGTTTTCATTGCTATCTGTTCTATTTTGTCCCCCTCCCCATTCCACTTAGAATTTATGAATTTCTGTAGAGCATATTTACTAGTTTTGTCTATGCAATCTAAAAGTAGAATTTTATATTTTTTCCTTTTGCAGATTCAATATCTTATTACTCGGTGGGGCTCAGATATCAACTCACTTGGTTCCTATAGTTATGATACAGTAGGAAAATCCCATGATCTGTATGAAAGGCTAAGGATCCCAGTTGATAACCTATTCTTTGCAGGAGAGGCAACAAGCATGAGCAACCCAGCGTCAGTGCATGGTGCATTTGCTACTGGACTTATGGCTGCAGAAAATTGCAGGATGCGTGTTCTCGAGCGCTATGAGGAGTTGGATTTATTCCAGCCAGTCACAGGTGATGAGGCATCAACATCTGTACCCCTTTTGATCACTCGAATGTAACTTGCTAGGGTGGGTGTCTCTATTATAAGGTAACATTAAGTATGCAGATTATATTAATATGAGATTTGTGTTGACATGTTATTGCCATTTTGGTGGGGCAATCAAGATAACCCTATGAAAATCATTGTTTCCTTAAGGTTAATCAATGGACATTGTTTAATGTGTGTAGTCTACTATGTAACATAGATTGGTGATCAGTACTGGACACACTTGGTGATTAGCACTGGACACATGAAGCATAATTATAATTCTGTATAGTGGCTTATTTGAAAGAGAAAATATACATGGTTAGACTCTAACCATGTTTCAACTAATTTTTAATGTAAGAAACTAATTATGTGGAACTCATGTGAACTTTATATACTCTGTAATTTATTATATTATTATAGACCTGTTATCCCATCCCCAAGACTAGATAATAAGTGTCAAAATCTATGCCACAGGCACAAAACTAATCATGCTAAAAACTTAACCAGATTATAATCATTCAACCATCAAATTATACATTACATATCACCATTACTCCAAAATAACTTAGAAATTTTTTAGAACCTTACAGAAAAATTACAAGAGTTTCCCCTGTATATTCAATATTCCCAAAATTTAAAACCTATTAAAACACTTCTAATCTCATGCATCTCAACTCAACTTCAATATTCTCAACCCAACATCATCATTCAATCATCATCAACGTAATCTCATTAATGATCTTAAAAGCATTGAAACTCATATTCATTCTAATTCTTAAAGCATACTTAATACTCACACGTGCTGTCACACCTTATCCTATTGTAAGATATGACAGGTCGCCCGTAATATACTTAATAAACACTTAATTCTTATAGATACTTACTAAGTATGCTACAAGAGACTTAAAACTTTTCATTTATTCATTTATGTCTTGTAGAAAAGTAAATTTAGTTATTAAAATAAATGTAAAACTTCTTTTAGTTCTTCCACCTGTTATAAAGAAATGCCTTTTTGGTAATTTATTAGATATATGAAACATAACTTCTATTAAGCTCAATAAAATAGTCAAGTCAATATAATTTCTTAAACATCCATGACATTATCAAAAGCATTAAATGGTTCCATAACCCATAATCCCATGAATGATTTAATTACATACTGGAGTCCTTTCCAAACATTAGATACATTGTAGAGATTAAGTAATTTAATAGAATATAAACTTTCAAATTTACACACTCATAATTTATCCCATGAATGATTTATTACATCTGGTAGTCCTTACCAAAACATATAGATTACATTGGTAGACAGATTAAGTAATTTAAAAGAATATAAACTTTCAAAATTTACAACACTCATCAATTTACGCGTATCTGCTCAAATATACATAGTTGTTCTGTTTAACATTTAAATACACTCATACACATTCTAAAAAGAAAACCAAAATAATAATAAATATCTACATTTAGTAGCATTACTAATCTACATCAAACAAAAATGGTCCGCTCCCGTTTCTTCCTCCTTTTCGTTTTCCTGCGATAGCACAAAAGACATACTATCTACATCAAACAAAAATGGTCCGCTCCCGTTTCCTTCTCCTTTCGTTTTCCTGCGATAGCACAAAAGCAACTATCGCTAAGCATATTGCTTAGTAGTGTACTATTGTAAAACAAACACAATTTATTAAATCAAAACTCTTTATAGGAAAATAATGAATCAATTATAAACTCTTTTCATAACTATTCTTTAAAATTGGTTGTTAAACCAAAGTAATGTTTATGAACTCTTTTATTGAAGTGCTTAGTTATTCTCCTTTTATACAGTTGATACATAGATTGGGCATTCAGCCTCTTTCCATCTAGGAGTGCTAATTCTTGATAATGATTCTCCATCCATTGACATTCTAGAATCTTAGATTCCATCATTATGCGTAAGGACTGCACTTTTATCTCTGTTGTAGCGCACGCCTGCCATTCCATACACTAGAGAATAAGGACTTTCCCCATTCACAGATTTGGTGGTGGACCTATACCCCCACAAAGCATATTATAGCTTGCTTGCCCAATCTTGATGATTTTCTGCAATTTTGCTCAATATATTTTTAATGTTGTTTGTGGCTTCCACTGCCCCCATTAGCTTGTGGTCGATATAGTGAAGATTTATGATGCTTAACTCCACACTTCTTTAATAGTGTCTTTACTTCTGCTTGGAACTAAACTCCATTATCTGTCACTATATGATGGAGGATCCTATATCTACAGATCAGGTACTTTTTAATGAATTTGGCCATTTTCTTAGCTCCAATGTTTTTAAAAGATTCTCCTTCTACCCATCTCGAGAAATAGTCCACTGCCACCATTATGAATTCATGTCCATTAGAAGCAAGTGGTGAAATTTTTTCGATGATATATATTCCCCAAGCTACAAATGGCATTGGTGGAATAGAAGGATGTAATTCTGAAGGTGGAATGTGACTCGAGTCTCCATGAAATTTGCATTTGAAGCACCTTTTCAAAAAAAGAAATACAATCCTTTTCCATTGTCGACCAAAAGAATCCTTATCTGAGAATCTTCTTAACTAGTGCTTTTCTGTTTATGTGGGTGCCGCAAACCCCTACATGGATTTGTTCCATAATCTCTTCAGCATATTTCCTCGATTCACATCTCAACAATACCCCATCTGATATAACTCTTGAGGCATTAGTGGCATCCATCATAAGGAATATCCTTGCATTAGCTCTCTATTTTACTAATCATGAGATTCCTACTTGTGGAGGAGATCACAACCATGCTCTGTACATCATAGTTCAAGCCAGGGGTAGGACAGTACTTATGGTTTTTGTATAATGGGTCAGCCCTGAATGTCTGCCACCTGAAAGTGGCCAGCTGCCTAGGGTTAACTACTGAAAATTTTATTCCATCCGATCAGATTGTGAGGGCATATGACAATACTAGGCAAGAAGTTTTAGGCATGGTCGATGTAGAGGTGACAATCAGGCTCGCAATCATACTATCCCTTTCCAAGTGGTAGATGTTCGGGCATGCTTCAAACTCTCTTGGGAAGGCTATGGATCCATAAGGCTAAAGCAGTAGCGTCCTCCCTACACCAAAAATTGAAATTCCCTTATGAGAACACAATGGTGACAATCAAAGGAGACTTGGCAAGGAAATCTAAAATCCCTTCCTTCCTTATGAGAACACAATGGTGACAATCAAAGGAGACTTGGCAAGGAAATCTAAAATCCCTTCCTTGGCTCCAGTTTTGGAACTTCAACTGAAACTAGTTCCCTCTATCCAGCTTCTCCTTCAATTCAGTGCAGTTTATTAAATCAGAATTAGGTAAAGAGATTTTCCCAATGGACTTTGATCCCTATAGTAACCCAATGGTAGCTAACATGATGAGAGCCATATGTTATTTTCCAGGAATGGGACTTGGCTGCAACCAGCAGGGTAAGGCCTCCTTCATTGAATCCCCTATTGCTAAACCTCCCTTCGGTCTCAGATTCAAACCGACAGATGAAGAGTGAGAGGAGTTGGAAGACGCCGAATGGTTGGCATGAATAAGAGGTGAAACAGGGGACCCTCCAATGCGCCCATATTTTAAAGCCCTTAATGGCACTTTATCAAAAAAGGGGAATCTGAGCCTTACTATTTCTTTCAAGAACCTTAATATTACCCTCTAACTAAAAGATTAATCCTTGATTTTGAACTTCTCTTTAATGTCAGGCTCTCAGTAGAAGACCGTGAGCCTCTTTTCAAGGTCTAAAGAGATTGGGAGGACAACATGGAGACATCTCTTTTTAACCTACTCATGTTCACCAATCGAGTGGAAATAGACACCACAAGCCTATACGACCTATCCAAGCACCCCTTCAGAACTAGTACTTTTATTCTACCTGAACCTGAGTCTGAATCACAAGCAAAACCTAAGTTAGAGTCCTATTTAGAGTCCAATTCAGTTCTTCCGAGCCCTCAGAGTCTTCTCTATTTTCCCTCTTAGAATTAGGGGATCTTTTTATTAAACTCAATGTAGATGCCGACCATGGCACTTTTATCACTAATGAAAAATTAGAGTTTTCTTGTTACCCTCTCTCTACTCTGAATGAGATTGTTGGCAAAATAGGAAATGAAAATGAAAAGGAAATAAAGATAACAAAAGAGCAAATAAACATTAGCATAGAAAATGAACTGAAACATACATTTGTTGTGAATGATTGTGATTGTAAACAGGAGTTGACAGAACTCATCAAGCAGTATTAATATTGTTTTGCTTGGACAACTAGTGACATGATTGGTATAGACCTTGACATTGCTGTGCATAAGATCCCCATATATGACCATATCAAGCCAGTAAAGCAAAAGCTCCAAAGGCAGAAACCGTAGATTTCCCTCAGAATAAAAGAAGAAACAGCCAGGCTGTTGGAAAATAACTTTATTGAAGCTATAGATTACCCTACATGGTTAGCTAATATAGTAGCAGTTCCCAAGAAAGATGGCATGATCAGAATTTACATTGATTACTGAGATTTGAACAAGGCATGTCCCAAAGATGACATCCCCTTGCCCCACATTGACCTGCTTGTTGATAAATGGTAGGATCCAGTGTGATTTCAGTCATAAATTTTTATAGGGGTGTAATCAAATACCAGTCAATCTATCGAATAAATCAAAGACTTTGTTCATCACCGAATATGGTACCTTTTGTTACAGAATGATGCCATTTGGGCTGAAGAATGCAAGTGCCACTTATTAGAGGATGCCTACCATAATCTTTCATAACCTAATGCACAAGAACATAGAAGTGTATGTTGATGACATGGTTGTCCACACCAGGGATGGGTTAAGCTATTTAATTGCCCTCGAACATTTCTTCTCCAGGCTCCGCCAGTACAATTTGAAACTTAATCCTATTAAATGTCTCTTCGAAACTCCGTCTAGTATCTTTCTGGGTTACATGGTCTCCAAGAGAAGAATCGAGATCGATCCATCAAAATCTAAAGCAATCCTAGAGATACAGCCTCCTAAGACAGAAAAGGAGATTCGAGGGTTCTTAAGTCACCTTCATTACATTAGTCAATTTGTTTCACAGTTAGCAGACACCTATGGACCGATCTTCAAGAAATTAAGAAAAGATGTCCCGAAGACTTGGGATGAACAGTACAAGAAAGCCTTTCAATAGATCAAAGCATA